CAAGAGAGTAACAAACATAAAAAAGAAGGAGAGATCAGGACGATAGATGTTTGATAGGAAAGAAGGAGCAAACCACATAGATAAATAGATTTATTTATTTATTTGTTTATTCATTTATTTTATTGTGGACGATTCCACCCTCCAATACTTTAATTAGAAATATATAACAACGAGTGAGAATGGATACCGAAACGCAGTAAAGTAAATGTATTCACAAATAAGTGTGGTAACCATTTCCTTTAACTGAATGAGAAAAAGACGAAGGGATTAATTACATATACTTTCTTAAGAGTAAAAAAGATCAACTGTAAGCTCTGGGGAAGTTATGATGAGGCTCCAAACTCCTGCAAGGGGGCTCTCGTGGCCTAGAGGTTAAGGTGTTGGCCTCTTATTCAAAGGTCCCAGGTTCGAATCTGGGTAGCGACCAAAATTTTGTCTTCTCTAAAATTGCCTCCTTTCACCTCCTTTCCTGCTCTCTAGATCTAGCAATGTTCTGTCGTCTGCTTTCGTCTCCTCTTTCTTCCTCCACCCCCTCATCTCACCTCCTTTGCCCCCTCCCTTAGGCTCCTGACTCTTTCTACAGCCTTTCTACTGCTACTCCTTGGGTACTTCTTAATTCTTACAGCTGTCTTTCTGCCACACCCCTGATCTTCTGACAGGAAAGATCTACACATAGCCTTCTCGGATAAGGGCGAAGAATCTCAGAGGCCCGTGTGCAAGTTGTGCACGTTAAAGATCCCTTGGTGGTCTAAAATCGATTGCTTCGGCCGTCACGGGGGCAAAATTCACCATTTCCTACCAACGGAAAAGTTTAATGTGTCCCGCGCGCTCATATGGCCTTATGCAGTTGCGAGCGCCGTAAAACACATACAAAAAAAACAAAAAACAACCTCCTGCAGGTTAGTCTTGGAGTGATCATCTACGACAGCCAACAAGCTGAACTGAAAATCCCACGCTGCTCTCGTGCAGACAAAATTAAATCAAAGAATCCTTTTTTTAAAGGAAATTGAGAAATTGTTATAATAATATAGATACATTTATGTCCCCCCTTTTTCCCCTTCCATGACCGAAAGTGTAGGCCTTCCTTACTGCTTGGTATTTTTGCTGTGGGCTGGAAACTGTAGGAGGATGCGAGACAAAGAAAACTTGTACGTTATACATAAAGAAAGCCTGAAAGATCTCTGGGTATGATTGGAACAGAAGGGAGGCCTATCGGCTCTGTACTCTCACCATTTCATGTTTAAAATTCTGTTAAAATTAAAGGGTTGATGTATTTTTGTCTAAAATTGCAAGAAATTGTGAAAATTGCTAAAATTGCGGGTTTATTGCGGAACTCGACGAAAAACGCGCCGCAAGACCGCGATTTCCTGGGGGACCAGCATGATGAGTTTATGTAGTTTGAGTGGCCATCTTCAAAACAGTGCAAGGGTGATCTGATAAAACGCATTCTTCTTACTTGTTTTGTTTGTCTTCAGCTCATTAATTTGATCAAATTTGGTTTCGTCATGGTAAATGAGATATATCTTCATGGGGAATAGTCAAACAAAAACAACATTGCTATTTGTCTGTTTAATTAGAACCCCC